TTTATCTATTTTTAGAAGCATCTTAGCTACCTAATAAAGTAATTTCTGCTAGAGTATTTGGCAAAGTGAAATTCTGTTTTACTAGTGTGAGAAAGAACATCTTTATCTCTATTGTCAGGCATATAAATTTGATAATGAAACCTAAAAATAATTTATAACAAGGACTAACCATTGACATCTTAAAATTTAATGAGTTTCTTGGGTTCCTAGAATTTTAAAAACTTCTTTATTTCATTTAAATATTTTCCAGTATCTATCAATTTATTAAGCAGCTTTAATTCTTGAGCTCTTTGGAAGTCATCTTGTAGTCATTGATTCTGTTCTTTAGAAAACTAAAGTATTTATAATTAATGGTAAAATTGTTAAAATATTTTTTATAATCTTAGCTAGTGTGTATAATTTAAGATTATAGTGTATATAATTTAAAAAATTATAGCCTTTGATAATGCATGCTACTTCTAGAGACACTTTTGATGGTGAAAATGTAAATCTTTGCCTCATTCTCCTGTCTTTCATAAAATGTTTGTATATATAAGCACTTAGCAAACACTTGTGAAGTGAGAATATGCAAATATCAAGTCTTCATACATTTCAAAAATTTAGAAAACCGCTGAAATAAAAGAAATTATTCTAATAGTGGTGTTCTAACTTTCTCTTTAGGGTCTACATTTTTTTTCAAATTTATTATGCAGAAAATGTCTTTATATACAGAATCATTGTGCCAAATTTTCCAATTAATATGAAAGTCAACAACAAATTCAAAAATTATACGGCAGCCAAAATGTGAAATACATTAGCTGTCATCAACTTGCTTCATAGAATATGTGGTGGCTTCTTGACAGAATTTACTTGTCCCCACTACCTTATATCAAGCAAATGATCGACCGTTTTCATTTACCAGCAGGCAATGTATTTGATATTCTCTCCTGTTACATTTTGATAAATAAAATCTCATTAAAGTTTTCTAGTTGTGTTACTTAAAGATACATGGGGGGGGTGAATATGGTGTTCAGTGGTAAAGTTCAAGTTTATCCTATGTTATATGGCAAGTTCCAGGACAGCCAGGGGTATATGAGATCCTTTCTGAAACAAACAAAATGAGAAAATAGAAGTTCGTATGTAATAGGAAAAATAATATATAAGTATATCTATGTAATATACATATATACTTATCTATACATAGGTGAAACACAGATTTGTTGGTGGTTGTAGGCAAATGATTATTTCAAGGAGACAAAGACAACTCCTTAATATTTTCAGGTGTAAGTACTTTCTGGTGCTGTTGTTAATATTGAAATTCTAGAGGGGCTTTACTACAGGCATTACTGGAGGAGTGGATCTTTCTCTTGGAAGCAGTTTTGAGCAAGAGTATAACTCCCCATCCCCTGGCAAAAAAGTAGTAGAGTTCCAACATTGTATAAACCAGGGCATAACTTTTGGGTTTTGTGAAAAGCAATGATGGCCTGGATTAGGGTGAGGTTGGTGGAAATGCAAAGGAAAGTCTGCAAATTGTGAAACCAGTCTGTGTATTAAATGATACTTTTAATGCCTGCTGCCCAGTATCGTCTGCTTGTCCATATATTTAAAATAAACACTTAGTAAAATAATGAGTGTGTTTTAACTCTTCAATAAATTAAATCACAATTTAGTGTCTCCCTCAACAAAATTCCCATAACTGATAATTAATGTTCAAAAGTCATGTCTAAAGTCATTTGTTTCCTAAGGATCTCTCATATTTAATCAAGTCATAGGGCTAGACTTAAGGGAAATGACTTTCAAGGCCTTTCTTTTCACCATCTAACATTCAGAAACTTCTGCTTTTAGCAAGTAGCACAGTGAATGACTGAGGGAAGAACCCTAAAACTTGCTAGTCATCTTCAATCATTTTGGGCTTTCTACATGAACAGCTGTTTACCCACTGCTTCATCAATGCCATCAACATAAAGACAGAGGAAATAACTCGCTGTTTCCATAAGCCATGTACCATATGCATATATGCACTATTCTGCTGGACTTTTTCATTTGATTTCACAGCTTGCTTTTCATTGCTTTCACCAGAGCAAAGCATCTTTTTATTTGGTTATTTTCCTTGTGTAACTAATGTAGTATATTATCTTTGCCAATGCAGACTGTATGAATATGAATCAACCATTCATGAAGATTTATATTATCCAGAAACCATAATACTACAAACTACATTGACCACGTGAGAGCACACTAGTAAAATAGCTTTGTCTCTTACATTTGAATGATCTGATTGGCCTTTATTTTCATTAGAAGGAAAGATAATGCCATCATCAAAGAAATGAAAGGCAACATAAATGTTTTGAAAATAACCCATCATGATATGTGGAATATTTGTTGTAAAATGTTTTTTATTAAAATTAAACAAAAGAGATTTATATTTTGTAACAGGTTGGAATGCAGATATTGAATAGGAATACACCTGGTTAGGTAACAGTGTATTTCATTTTCAATTTGACACTTTAATCTTAATTAATACACCTAGAATATTTTTAAATGCCAACATAGGTGTTTATTTGCCTTCTAAGAAAGGAAATCAGTGATATATCTTTCATATTATAGGTAATTTGTCTATAACAGGACTACATATTAATTGTCATTTTTGGCTTCAGCTATAGCTCAGTGGTAGAGTGCTTGTGTAATGTATATTAAAACCCTAGGTTTGATCCCCACTACAAAAACAAACACACAATGCTCATGTTTAAAAACTTGCCAGTTAAATTGTATTGCCACAATAATTACCAATTACACTTTAAACTTTTGTTTGTGTATGATGTAATTCAATCTATAAATATATGAAGGATTTATTTTCTTAGATACTATAACCAAGGATGAAGTATCTGCACTAATGTTCATTAGGATATAATGTTCATCAATAAATATCAATGACAGATGGTTGCTAAACATGAATACTGAAGTATCATTTGTATTTTAAATATTTTTGAGATATAGAAATTACTTGGCTATAAATACAAGATAATAACCTAAATTTGGTTTTTAAAAACAAACATTTGACTTTTACTTCTGTTTGTGAATTTGTTAGAAATTTAGTGATACTCTTTAACTTACCCCACTAGTGAATTAGCAATACCCATAACCTTAAGCATCAGGATCACATACTTCCCTTAATGTTGCAGTTATTCCCTCAGAAGGTCCATTAAAGGCTATTGCCATACTGCCACTGAGATGAACAATGGTCTTCCATCAAATTGGTTCTGTCATTACTTTGTAACTTCAAAGTTGTATACATGGGATAAATATTTTCTATCATCCTTTTACGTTCTTGTGTCCAAACTACCTAAGTGTGGTAGTAGAACCGCCAATGGTATTATGGATAGTTATACTCTGATATAAATATGGAAAAGGATTAAAACTTGCAGAACATGCAAGTTAAATTATAATTTTAATTTGAAATGTGGTGTATAATGTTAATAAAACTTACCACTAATATTTGTTTGTTATTGAAGATACAGTGACATTTCAATTGCATAAGAGTTTTAAATTTACAATAGTGAATAACTATAGGTAAAATTTTATAAATAGCAAATGTAGTAGTAATTAGGTACTTCTATGCTCATTGAAGAATGGTTTATACAGCACATAGTTTACACATGAATGAATGAAAGATGTTGGTAGGAATATAAAAATAGTGATGGATTTTATTTTATCAAGTAAACTGACATTTTATAAACATTTCCACTTTCTATCCTTGGATATTATCCAAAGTGACAAAAGGAGACACATATGTAGACTTCTCAAATATCTCTGGATGTGAATTCTTTAGTGGAAGACCTAAAAAGACTTTCTTGGGTCATAATTGGATGAGATTTTGATTGGACAAACAACATGCTAGACTTTTTTTTTTCTTACATAAAAAACAAGAGTTGGTAGAATTGCTGCTAACAAAATACATTGCAAATAAGTTGTATTTTAGCAGAAATACATTTAAAAATTGAGAAGAAAAGGGCCCAGGAGTAAAACTTTTTGTCAAATTTTCACTCTCAACTTTTGAGTATTAAGTATCAAGAGATCAGTAATGTAATAGCAAGTACCACAATATCGTTCTCAGTAGGAATTTTCTTCCCTACCTAGGACTTAGAGCCATCTAGCATTCCATATGCTAGGCTTGGTTTTTACTAGATCACTCTTAACAGTTCAGTGAACACAGCACTAACCTGGAGGCCTGAGGATATAATCCATTTAAACACATGAAATTTTGTAAATCCACTTCACAGAAACTGAACCACAGATTGAATAATTTTCATCTCTACACTTCCTTTCTAATTGTCTGTTAGGCACAGATAATATTTTTGTATTTATTTGTAGCTTTATTTCAGAACATTTAAATAACAAAAAACTAGACTCTTTTATTTGAAAAAATCTTAAAAAGAAAACATAGCTTTACATGTGGTTAAAGAAAGTGTGTAATTGGTTAAGTCAGGGCAGGGAAGAATCAGAATTGCTGAGGCTACCAGTTTTTGTGAGCCACGAGGCAAACCAAGGCTACCTCATCTTTGGATTAGAAAAAAATATCCATCCTCTGAATACTCACCTTAGAAAGTTATTCCTTTTGAAGATACTGGAAACCTTGTTGGGGTGACAAGCATTTAGCCAGAGGCAGCAGAAACCCAGTCAGGATTCTTTGAAGAACAACAGTTAATAGTGTGGTTGTATTTTTTTTCTTCTGCTATGTGGCTTCAGAACATTATCAAGAGAAGTGTACAATATGTTCCGCTACTTGAGTTGACTTACCATCGGATGTATCACTTACTGACTGTTATTCTTGTGTCTTAAAAGCTGTTCATGATGCAGATTTTCTAGCTTAAGTTTAGACATATTCCAAGCAGAACAGACTAGACAAGTTAGAATTGTGGATTTATCATCAATAACTTCCAGGTCTGTGGAGGAACATGTTGCATGAGACAGGAATGTAATTTGTGAGAAATGTCTACACACAGGCTTTCATATACCTTTATTCTGTCTTTAGAATTTGGAATGATGGGAGATCATACAATTAAAAGTCAGCGACCTCGATCTGTCCATGAAAAAAGGGTCCCTCAGGAACAAGCTGACGCTGCTAAATTTATGGCACAAACTGGTAATACGTTAGTTACATTTTTCTATTGATTGTTGTTAATTTAATGGAACCACTGCATGTTTTCATGATCCTTTGCTGCACATTTGTCAGTTTTTGGAGCTGATTTTTTTTTGAGCCATTTTTTTTTGTCACCAGTTAAAGTCCATAAATAAAGTAGCTATGAATGAAAAGTACACAGAAAAAAATGTGTAAGACTTACTTTGCTTTTGGTTTAGGATGCTTTAGGAGTTACATATTATTATTTCCTTATGTTAATTAACCACTAAAATGCATCATTACACTCTTAAAGGACAGCAATAAAGTTACTTTTTCAAGAATTATTTGATTTGAGACTTTCATGAGCTATAATTTAAATAGGACTCAGATGATGAAATTTAATGTAACAAAATTTGATACATTAAATATTCTTCCATATGTCACATTATCTATAAATATTGCTTAATTGTTAAAATATATAGAAATTAGATGTTTTATAATTTAATATATGATTTGAAAATAAATTTGTTGCAGAAGATAAATAGTAAAAAGTTGACCATCTAATTAAATATCAACAAAACTGACTTTCTGGCTTATAAATATCTTTAATCCTACATCAGTCAAATCATTTTTCAAACTCCCTACTAATTTGAACGTGACTGAAAAGTATGTCATTTAACATAATTTTTGAAATTCACAGATATATGTGAATAGATATAAACATGTAGAGTTTATGTTTTAATAATCTATAGAGTTTGACAGATCCCAGTGGGTCATAATTTGGCTGCTCATAGTAAGTATTGCAGATTTCTGCCCAGGAACCCTGCAGGGGAACACTCTCCCAGCTGGAGATGTTTACAGCTATGTTGCAAACATGCTCAGCTTTTGTTTGCTTTTCTTTTACAAGACTTAGAATTCAGTTTACCTGTGTTTTCACACAGTTTTGTGCATTCCATTCTTGTTTGTTTTATCGTTATCAGGAAACCATGAGTATACAACCAGATCTGTGACATGATATTCAGACAGGTTTTAATGAAATTCTCCAAGAGAATGGACGTGCTCTTCAGTTCATGTGTTCTTTGTCAGAGTGTTTGCTTAGAACACTGTACATGAACTTAATGCTTAGAAATTCAAATATTAATACTGAATTGGATCCTTGGAAATAGATGAATGGTCTATTTTAATATATTAATTGTAACTCAGCTTCTCAGAGCAGGATATGTAGAATTAATAATTCTATAAGTGTACAGTTTAAATTTTAAAAATAATATATGATGTGGCCAGATCCAGAAATGATGAGAATTTCTTTGCTGGATTACTTCTGGTGTACCTTACTTAAGAGGAGATTTATATTTTAACCAGTTGCTTACTCAAGTCCAAAAATGGATTATGTGGTTCAAATGGATTTCCAAATTTCTAAATGTGTTTTTGTCTGATACCAAGAGCAAAATATTTGAAGCAGGGAGCAGAGATTCGGGGATTTCTACTCTCAGTAGAAGAGATAAAACATGGGCTGACCACTTAGTCCCTTAGGCATCTCCCTGTGAGAACACATCTGCTGTCTGAGAAATGTGTCCTTCTTTTATGCCAAAGACATAGCAAATATTGGTTTACCATAATGCCTAAAACTTGTCACCATGGGAAGTGAAATGGAGAACCATATGTTTAAGTTTACAATGCTCTAGCAACTTTAGTTTGTGCATTCAATATTATGCAATTTTTGTTTAAATTATGTTTATTAATATTTGCATACATTAAGAAAATTCAATCTTTTTAGCCAAAACATTTTGAAAAACTCAAATGTTAAGAAATATTGATTTGTAAAAAGAGGAATTGGTAATCACAATTTTTACATGTATTTCTGATTTTCCAGTCATTGTTTTTCTACACTATGTATATTCTTTCACTAAGAAGTGATTTGGTAAGTAGATGACACACAGGTTAAATAAATCTGGGGCTAACTTTAAAGCCACTTACACATACTGTTATCTTCTCAGAAAGGCGATGCCATATTAAAGTTCTAGAATTATTGATTGATGCCTGAATTTGTGAGAAACAGAGTAATAAATTTATTTTAAAACAAACATTGCATATGCAAATATGGACACATATAGTACTTACTTTAATATGAAATTACCATGCTGAACTAAGAAAGGAAAATTCACTATATTATTTTTTATGATTCATAATTGAATACTAAGCACACTTATATTGCTAAAAGAGAGAAGTTCTTTCTTAAATATTGTTTCTTTTGATGTTAACATAGACTAAATTAATAGAAGTACCAAACAATAACATTTTACAAATGAGGTTTTATTTATATAACCTGTCTACTTCTCAAATCATGGTATTAATATTGCATATAAACAGTCATGAAATTTTGCTAACCATAATTTGAGAACAAAAAAAAATGATACAATGGAGGGGAGTTAAATAATACAATTACAAAGTACCATAATATGTTATATCTCTCATTCAAAAAACAGAAAGCAAAAGCCACCACCACTTATTTCTTTTCAAATAAGTGAAATGGCTTCACCAATCAATACAACCAGTAACTATTTTCATTTTTAAAAAAGCTTTACCCTACCTGGTCTCCAAAGTAAGTTCCAGGAAAGGTGCAAAGCTACACAGAGAAACCCTGTCTCGAAAAAACAAAAAGCAAAAAACAAACAAACAAACAAACAAACAAAAAGCTCTACTAAACAGAGGCAGAGTGAGTGAATATTTTTAAATGGAATTTTTATGAGGTAGCGTTATTATTTTATTGGAATAGCTAGAGTGTTATTGCTAGTACTAGTAACTAAGGCAAGTCTGAACATTAATTAGGTTGTTACAGAAGCATAAGATAAGGCTGGAGGGATGTCTCAGTGGTTAAGAGCACTTACTACTCTTGCAGGGGCCACATGTTGAGTTCCCATAATCCCCATAGTAGCTCCAACCACTTGTTAACTCCAGTTCTAGGGATCCAACAACCCTCTTCTGGCCACTGGGGGCGCTGTATGAGCATAGTACACATACATATGGAGCTAAACCTAACATACATAATAAAATAAAGTAGAATTAAAACCTAAGTTAGAAATGTGTATATATAGTTAAAGAAAATGAAATAATAAATATGTCTATTTAAGGGATAAACCCAAGCTAAGTGCCATTGAGCTGGAATAAGATAAATGTTAGTGATTCTTACTTTTTGGCAACATAGGCACGAAGTGAGTTTATAAACAGGTTTAGAAAAGCAACCATTTATTACATGAAGGAAATGGCCTGTATTAGGAACATATGACATGTAATGTAAAATAAGAACATAACATTAAATGTGTTTCTAATTTCATGATTTTAACACACTAGCAAAAGTTATGTTAATGCCTTGTTCATAATTTTAAATTCTCTATTGCATATGATCTCACTCAATTTTCAAGTAGCTTTTGAGGTAGGTAAATTATTAAGAATAAATTATTTTAAAAACTGGACTTTCTCAAGGACCCAGAGTCAATGTACAATTGACTGCAATACATTCCAGTTTCCTTCCATGATTTTTTTTCCAGGATAAAGAACTTTAATACTGCCTTATGTAGAATGTTTTCTACATGAACTTTGACATGTCTTCTGAATTATACATTGACTAGATCAGTTTGTACTATCTCAGAAGATTATATATAATATATATATTATATATATATATATATATATATATCCTGAAAATGGTGCTTAGTCTAGGCTTTACTATTTCAGTGTCATTAAAATATCTTTTTTTTCAAGTATATTAACTATTTCTAACATAACTCAATGTGCTTTACTAGATAACCCTCAACCTTAGGGAAAAAAGGAAATGGCATAAAAGTTGCAGTGCAAATGTCAATTGAAATAGCACTTGAAATACAAGATCAAGTTGATGGTTAGACCATTATTTTAGTGGCAAATTTTGATTATAAATTTGAAATGAAATTTATTATTCATATGTTTATTTTAATTTAAATTTTCATCTGCAAAATGAGCTGTGAGGAGGCTTCTCTTAGCATTCCTGATTGATGTCTCATGACACAGCAACACTGCCAGTCTTGCTCAGGGTCATGCAGAATCATAGTTGTAGAGACAACGCAGATTTCCAAATACTTGTGTGAGGTTGTACTTTAAATTGGGCCTTGATCTGAACTCATGGCTAAGTTTAATTTTTAAAATTATCTATCATTAAAATGCAAGAGAGAAAGAAAAAACTGTGTTTGTGGCAAAGTAGAACTAATTTTTTTTCCTCATAACCTTTGTCATGTCACTTACAGAAATCACATTGTTCTTAACTTCCTGGCTTGTAATTGATAATATACAGCCATAATATTTATACTCAGTCTCATCACAAGCAGGTTGGCATGTCATTAAGTATACATTACTATTCCCTAATTTTGAGCTTAAAGTTTTCATTATTAAGTATGCTTATATATGTAAACATATGTGTAGATAGTTTTAATCATTGTCATATTATTGGACTCACAAAATGATGACTTTTGTTAAAATGTAATTCAATTTAATAGAGCAAATTATGACCTATGATATTAAACACTACTTAGTCAGACATCCAAGTATATATTTATGAAATTAGCTATGTATAAATTTGTAAAGGTAAAAATACTGAAGTAATCAAGAGAGATCCATTACTGTACATCCAGGCTAAACGTCAGTTTCAATATTTAAAAGAAGTCCTAATTAATGTGAGCTGACATCCAAGTTACCAACATGTGCCATTCTGATAGATAACCAGGTATCAATGAATTGTGATCTCTGCCTCTGCATGCATAATGTTAGACCAATGTAAGAACACATCTTCATGGTCCTGCTAACAGAGTTTTGATAGCACAGTGTTTCTCTGCAAACTGGTTGTTTTGAGCCCTCAAGAAAATAAGTAAGCAGGTTATAGCAGAATATAAAGTCAATATCTTCTTCAAATAGGCTTTCTAGCAAGGGACTCACATTTAGAACAGATTTCTCACTGAAGAATGTCTTGCCCTATAGTCTGGTGCACGCCCATTCCTTCCTTCAGCACCAGTTTGGAGATCAGTTACTTGATTAGCCTTTAATACACTCCTAAATCATTGACCAACTCTCCAAAACAAGATAGATAAATGGATTGGCATTTCTGTCCTTGGAATTATATTCAAAAGGATTATTCTATACCAAATACATGATATAGAGCTAAATTGCTCCTAGCCCTGTATAATTAGTGATTCAAATGTTCTGAGAAAACCATTCCTTGTAAAAAGTTTGGACAACAGCATGTGTGCTTAATGTAAATACACACTGCTGGGCAGACATGACTGAATTGGAATTTGGTGCAAAGCAAAGGCAAAATTTCAAGTCAGGTTATAAAATCTAACCTGGATGTGATGCTAGACTAGAATTAGATGCTCACTCCAGTGGTTTTTAAAATTGATGTTTCCTGTCTCCTTGTACACTGGTTATAGATAATGAGAAAACTAGGCACAGTTTCAATGTGATGCCAAGCACCACCATTTTTATGAAACGCAACACTAATTGGCTTCATAGGACCCTGTTTTGGAGTAAACTTTAGTTCTATGTGCTGTTAATATAAATGATAGAGAAGCTTTCATTCACTTGAAGTTAAAAAACATCACTTGTTCAGGTGAGGGTGAAATGGGGAGCAGAAGGATATTAACAAATGACTTCAAAGTAAATGGCTAGCATAGGCTGAAACAGTAGGAAATCCATTTGGAATAAATTAGCAACTTGCAAAGTGGTTTTCATGTACAGTCAGTCTTTAGCAATGAAAGGGCTTTCCACAATAAAGAACTAGGCAGGAGCATATCAAAACATCCCTGCTCACCAAAGCCTCAGAGTATGATTAGAAATACATTCTTGCCTCATTGGACATCAAATGAAGAAATCTTCAATTATTCTCACTGAAAACTATTGACTACTTCATTCACAGTGCTGATAGCTCAATGGACTTTGCAAAGAATGGTTTTGCTAACAAGGTCATGCATGACAAACAGTCTTTGTATTAGCATTGTACACATCCCTCTAAATTCATTTTCCTATGAAATGCTTTGTACCTTTGTATGTACTGTCATATAATTGGATTTACATTATTCATGCATGTCCAGTGTTAGTTTGATACAGTGCTTACGGGATGAACAATCAAGACAGTATTTCATGTTTGTTTGTTGTCTTGCATGCAGGTGAATCTGGTGTGGAAGAGTGGTCCCAGTGGAGCACATGCTCAGTTACTTGTGGTCAAGGGTCGCAGGTGCGAACCAGAACTTGTGTATCACCTTACGGGACACACTGCAGCGGCCCATTAAGAGAATCAAGGGTTTGCAATAACACTGCCCTCTGTCCAGGTAGTGTTAGCAGCAACTACGACTGTGGATGTTTTGAATTGTGTCATGCTACGCATTTGGAACCATTTGTTATTTTCATATGATCTGGGTATAGGCATTTTAATTAGAGTCTATAAGTGTAATTATTCTCAACTGTGATATTTTATTCTGTATGTGATTATTTCAGCTTTCAGAGCAGTCAGGATGCTAGATAAGTGACTGTCTCCCTACTGCAAGTAAGATTGAAATTTGTAGAGCTATTTCAAGTAGTATGCAAATTCCGTTATTATTCTTGTGTTTTTAGGTGGTAAAAAAATCCAACTGCATATTTGAGGAAATAAAATTTTCAAGCATAGTAGAAATATGACATGTGATTGACAGTTTTTCAGTAAGCAATTCTCCTACTAGCCATCTAACCCTATCAAAAAATAATAATAATAAGTATAGTAGACCTAAGAATGATCTTTCATTTTACTTCATAAACAACATTGAAGTGATTTTTCTCATCACGGCTATCTACTGCTTAAAAAGACAAGAAGGGGCTGGTTAGAGTCAATTTATGTTACATCAAAATTGTATTATTTAATGATGTTCATGGTCTTACTCTGTTTGTTTCTCCCTGTCCAACTGATGAGGTCTTTTTTTCAATCAGTCCCAAAGGAGGAGTTTGGGTTGTGCCCAATCATTTGATGAATGGGTGACTGTAAACTACATGACTGCCGGAGTTGAGACTAGACTCTCATAGACCTTACAGAATCATCTGAACGGGAGACGTTCTAAAGAAAGGTCTTGCCACCGTAGGCCTTCCAACCTCCAAGTCATGCTTAAACATTCTCTAGGGGGTAGTCTCCATTCCCAGAGTTAACTGATTCTCAGTTGCTAAAACCAAGAGTGAGGGTCCTGGAAGAATGACCAAGAATAATGCCAATTACCCAGCAGAACAGGCAAATGTAATCATATAAGAAATGTTGGAATGGCTGTTACTTAGTGGGTATGAAACTTGAAATTTGCAAAATTGAAGATTTCTGGTGGTCTGTTTGACTGCTGCACAAATATATTCAATACTGCTGAATTGTAAACTCAAAATAGTTTCCATAGACAATTTTATATTATGTAGGTTTTTTTATTTCTTAAAAAAAAACAAAAAACAAAACTAGAGATCCTGGAGGAAAGAGAAAATGAAGGGGAATGATACAGTGAGTTGTAAGAACCCATTGTGTAAGAAGTAGAAAAGCAAAAGATAAAGACGAAGTTAAACAGAAAGAAACCAAGGCTACAAGGCAAAGAAGGCACAATTATCAGTAAAAGGACAATAATTACTACTGAGAGTAAGTAGAAGTCAGTTGAGACGGCATGATACAAGAAAGAATTGGGAATGAAAAATAATACAAATCAAAGAAGAAAAACATAAGGGAGTCATTGAAAAATGATGACAAGGGACTAAAAGAGATCATAGACGAAACACATTTCAGTTACATGAGCTGGGAAAAAAGGCCAGGGAGATAGATGCTTACAGTGTGGTAGTGAAACCTTCAGCCCTCAAGCGTAAACGCTGTGGATCCTTATTGGAATAAAAGAGAATGGCATCTTCTGGAGAATACTTACCCAGGAAGCCTCACCACAGTATTTACATGATAATTTACAGGGTCGACTTCCCTGTTTTCAACAATTAAAACAGTATCAGTAGAGCATTATGATACAATTGATATATACATTTATCTTATGGCTATGCACAAGGAGAAGGACAGGGTCTATTGATGAACCTATTCCTAAGTGGGAATCAGATTGGTTTCCAATGTCCTTTCCATTTTCATAGCTTACCTTTCAGTGACCACTTACACACATGTGTAAAGTTCATGTAAGGAAGTCTCCATCCCTCTTCCAGAGGGGCATGATTAGGCCTTCAACTGGGAACTGAGAACATCCGTGGGAGCATCCAAGTCTCCCCCACATCTGGAATTGCTAAGTTCTCTCTCCTCATGTTTCATGTCAACAAAACTGAGTAATATGTCATTGACAGCTTTTTTGATTTCTTAGAATTCTTACCCTTTCCATGCATAAGAATGTGAACAGTTTCGAGTCTGTCTTTCACCTTCATGTATAAAAACTATTTCTCTCTCTAAATTTTGCTTGAATTTATACAAGAAAAGTATATCATTGTTATAATTCATTTTGTTAAAATGATGATCAATTTTTATTTTTAATTTTCCAAATACAAAAGATAATTTAGCAGCTTCATTATTTTAAAATGTCAGATAAGTACATAGTTATAGGAAATAGTTTCTTTCATATGCTATCTTTTTTTAATTTACCATATTAGTAAATGTTATTTTTAATATGATATATAATGAAAGCAGTAAAAATCAGGAGTAAATTTTTAAATGTTTTAAAATTGAAGAAGTGTTTCAACCAATATAAACATCTTTCTAAAATAACAAATTCCACTTAAATTTGTTTACAAATCAATACCTGACCTTGTCATCTAGAGAACGCTAATTTTTTGTGTTATGTAATGAACAAAGCACAAGAAAAGGACAAATTGACTATTAAATCAACTCTTTACAAAATGTGTGGAATGGGAACATTCGAGCTTAGATTTATTTGTACTATAAAGGAAACTCATTAGCATGACAAGGGACTTACATTTTATTAACTCTCAAATTCTTCTTTTATTCAGATCCACTAATACAGATACATCCTGGACCTTTTGCAAATTTTGTGCTTTGACATTTTTTTTAAATTTGGCCGGTTGTTGTTGTTATTATTATTATTATTATTATTCAGAGTAGAAATGTATGGAATATAGTAAAGTAGATTGGGAAAGTTAGAGAGCAACTTTTCAATTATCTAGCTAGTGTCCCAGCTGAATTGCCGCTCTATATTTCCCTCGAGAGTTCTCAACCTCTGTTGACTGAACACCAGCGTTCTGACCTGGTAAATCTTTGTTTCGAGGGGGCCATCCTGTTCATTTGTGTGCTCAGAGGCTTCCCTGGCTTCTACCCACTTGATGTCCATAGCACTTCAGTTCCTTATAAACTGATGGAACCCAAACTGTCTGTGGATATTAGCAAATGTCCATGTGGGTGGAGTTACCGCCACTTGACAATCTTGGATCTGTACTGTTTGGAACTGAATTAACAGTAGAAGTTAATATAGTCTATGGAATGGTTTTTTTTTTTTTAATGAATGTCAGAGTTATCATATTCATTTGTTTCTAGAGTAAAACTCTTACACTTAAAAGGGTTATTTTATATATAATGCAATCTAAAGCATATGAACAATTCTAGATGTTTATTTCAAAACCCGAAGATAATGTGTTGTGTATTGTATATATTTTATTTTCCCTTTGGCTTCTACAAAGTAGAGACATGACAATATATCTGGTACCAAAAATCAAGAAGAAAACTACAAAAATGGATGAAATTGATGAAAATTAAATGACTTGAATAGTATTATTTTTCAGATTCACTAGATAATTCATGAATTTTTGTGTTTTCCTGTAAAATAAAAGATCTTATATAACAATTTCACATTAAATTGAAAATTTGATCTTAACATAAATTTTATAATTAGCCTAATATAAATCTTATATAATCTAAACATTATAAATATATGCTACAATTTTCTGCAAACTCAATAGTCTTCAAAAATGACAAATTATTAATAATTTCTTATCAGATAAGAAATTAGTAACTTAAATGATATGACTGAATTACAAAACCTCAATGTATAACAATAAAGACTGCTAAAATGCCTAAATAGCATTAATTTTCTGATTCCAGTATCATGATTTACCTACTACTAAGATTTCTTGTCAGTTTTTGTGGTTCACAAAGAAAAAATTTCCAATTTAGCAGTTTAATGTTTTCTAATAATGTGCTATGTACATTGAGTACTATAGTCGTTTGATAAAAGATCATACTGTGTCATGAACACTTTACATAGTGGAGCTGGTTATCATTAGTTTAAAAAGTTTGGTAACCAGAAATAAATGCAAGTATTAATAACATATAACTAAAAATAAAAAAATATTCATATAAATTACTTGGAGAAGTCATTTCTGATTAATGTTTACATGGATGTATGCACATATACACACACATATTTAAAAACTATATAATACTTATATGTACATTGCTAAATGCAAATATTAGATATTCTGTTATTAGTAGATACTAATTAGCTTTGGTTTACCCAGATTGTCATGAGGTAGATTAAAAAAAATAGTTTTCTCCTCTCTCTGATATTTTTCACAAATATTGTTTTTTAAGAAACTTTCTAGTAACTTTCATAGAATCATTAAATGACTGTTATTGAATTAGACTCTAATTGGGTTGCTGTTTTCAATGTTTGAGCACATTTTCACAACTTATTGCAATAAGGAAACAACATAAATGGAAGAAATTGGTATATCTCATAAAAGTGTCATTTTTTGTGGAATTCTTTTGAAATGTAGTCCAGATTATTTAAATTACCATGTAAAACTGTGTGTTGATGTGATGTTTTGAGGTATATCTACTTACACTGTGGTACAATGAAACATTAACATAGCTTATAAAACTATGTAATATTTGAAAGAACATAAAAGAACAGCTATTAAGTACTTTAACCACAAAACTAATAGTAGCCTGTGGTAAGACACTGGCTAACCAGTTGGATTTCAGCTTTAAGGTAAGAACATGAAGAAAATTGTAGAAATATCACATTTACTTATAAAGTACCTATGCCATTTTCATGGGCTTGTACGTAGATTTGCCAGTTGGAGGAGGAAACTGAACCTCTGTTTGCCATTTCTGTGTGAGTTTATACTCCCTCACTCCTCCCAGGAGTGATCTCAATCATCCATGCTCAAGACAGTGGCAGAGTTCTAAGGCAGAGGGTCTGCACCAAGACAGAAGGTTCTCAAGAGAACTTTTCTCCTGACTTCTCTGTATTCACTTTATTTGTGAGGCAAATACCCTAGTGTTGATAACTAGGATGAGAGCAGTAATTTGACATTCAGAAAATAAAGCATTTAAACTTTTAAGTCTAGTGAGCTTTTGTAAAATATGCCAGTATTCATTTACACAGCATCCAATACTCATTCAAAAATTAAATTTAAAAAATTCATAGTATTGCTTCCAGCCAAGTTTGAATTATGGAAAATGGGATGTTTGAAGTATTGGTATTTTCATGGTTACTTTAATTCTATTTCTATTTAATTTGGTTTTTGTGGCTGTGTTTTAGAAATATAATTAGAAGAGTTTCCAGCTCCATCAAACTGTTAGAAGAGGGAGATCATCTTCTAGTTCCATGACTTTGAGAAACATAACGTGCTTATCTTGAAAGGGGAGAGGGGATGCTGTGGGAGTAGATCCAATGGTTGAAATATCCTGTTGCTGAAAAGATCATAAATTTACCTCCTAAATTTTAGATGAGAAAAGTATTTTTAAATGCCAGCTTAAAAGCTATTTAAAACATATACAATTTTCAGGGTCTCCATTTTTTCATTTTCTAACACAAATTATTTCTGAAACTTCACGGGTATTAGAATTAACTTGGTCATTAGCTATTTAAATAAGAATTTCGCTTTAAAAATTCAGCTCTGTTAGGAGAAATTTAACTTTCCTTATTCTTCATAGGTGGCCGTGCTTTAAAATAGCTCATGAATGTTTTATCAAGAGAAAGAAAGGGGAATTTCCTTTGAAAGAGGTTAAAAATGGACTAGTTTAAAATTTATGGTTCAGTTGTAGAAGAAAAGCGCATACAGTTTTCTGTTATTGTAACAAATTCAAAAATTAAATTTAAAAGTTTAAGTCTGATAAGCGTTGTATTGAAAGTGAGTTTTCCAAATATCTTCACATTTTACTTGATGATTTCTTTTCTTAATTATACAGAAAGAAGTCTCTGACTTTGATTCCTTTCTTTGTGGCTGAAGCTTCTTTGCTTTATTCCAGTACATGGAGTTTGGGAGGAGTGGTCACCATGGAGCTTATGCTCCTTTACATGTGGCCGAGGCCAAAGAACACGAACCAGGTCATGCACACCTCCTCAGTATGGAGGGAGGCCCTGTGAAGGACCTGAAACACATCACAAGCCTTGCAATATTGCTCTCTGTCCAGGTAAGCATATTTGGCATTTGCTGAAGCTTGCATTAATGTACTTCCTATATTGTCCATGGTGTAACAGGACATATATAAAGAATATACCTATTATGGAGCCTTCCTGGAAAAGTGTTTCCACTAATTAATGTCTCTTATCTGGATGAAACAGGACAATTTCCCTGCTTTCTGTGTTTGTGGTGACACTCATTTTCTTGAGTGGTACCAATTGGTGTTCATCTTCCCTAAATTTCTCTATGTATATACATTAGTGTTTTAAATCAAAGGTTTATTTGTACAGAGTTTTTCATTGTGAAGAGTCACAATGAGTTCTTGGATACTGCGGACAGTTGTTACCTTCGGATATAACTAGTAAGACCTGGTTTAGAATTGTTTCTCCTGGTGTTGTTCTTTACAACCATTCAGTCAAGGGGGTCACTTGGCACTGACCACACGAGAACACTGCCAATATTTTCTGAGAAGTATCATAGGACAATATGTATAGTCTTCCTTAGAATGTATTTATGTTATCCTAACACTCTCCTTTGCCTGATACTCCAGTTCTCCGACATCCAACTTTGCTAATTCTGCCCATTATCCCATAGCTAGGTCTCCAAAATATTGTCATTTACATTATTCAAGCATCAAGCAAATAGTTGCATAAAGAATAAGAAATTCTAATATCTGGTTTCAAGGGGCTCAAAATTTAGGGAATAATTGTATGTTCATAACTGCATAAGTGATAGAATCTCCCAGGAAGATATAACCCAAGACCATGAGTGGCAAATGGCTAACAAGAATGGCAAAAGGTAGTGTTAAAAACAGAAATCCCTCCTTAGCTCTTTGGATGGTTTCTTGTTAGACCGGTTCATAAACTACTGTGTATGAAAGCAACATGGTGGAACTCCCCCTGGTACTTTTCGGTAAATGTATTTTCCAACACAGATTCAGTTTCTTCTATACTCTTAAATTATTCAAGTCAGTGGTCTATGTTATGAGGCAATCTTTCAATGTTTTAAAAATTATATGACACAAAGGTAACCACTAGAATAAGTCAAAGGGAAGTGGTGAGAAATGATATAAAATACAATGTATACATATATGAGTTTTTTCAGAGAAAAAAAATAAAAAAAATATTATCTAAAAAATGTAAGATTTTTATATAGTTCCATAAAAAATTCTATGAGTTCCATGAATTTTGTGAGTGTGCACATCAATAGTAATTTAATTATGAATACTAGGGCTCAAAATCATAATTTATTATTTGCAAATCATTCCCAGAAAATCCATGCATGATATCATTGATGTTCTTTCCTTGTGCATACTTCCCACATGCACAATTATCTGAATACTGCTCTCTTTCCTAAGAGTTTTCAAAGCTTTTTCAAAGGTTTTTAGAAATCTGCCCCAGTTCATATTCTCTAAGTTAGCTTTATATACTTTAATTCTTCATATTTTTTCTCTCTTATAATTTTTAATATTGAGTTTGGGTGTACCACAAACTTTGCAAATTCCTATACTGTATCTCACTTTCCTTACTCTGAATTGGAATTCTTATAGCTGTGGCTTTTCAAAATTTTCATTCTGTAACAGAACTTTTTCTCGTATGATTAAAAAATATGCAAGATATATTTGGCACAAACTCTAGGAATTCTCCTTAAAAAGAATTGTTTTATAGCTAAACTTCACCACCTCCACTGCCCACAAAGCAATCATCAATCAGTACCAGTGAGGTGCAAGGCATTGTCAAAAAGAAGACATACTCCATAATTTCAAGCAAAGATTCATATATAAGTGTATACAATGTTGAATGAAGTACAGTAGTCTCAATGAAATAATGTAGTTTAAAGGTTGTAGGGTTTAACCTTACATATCCTAAAATCTTGCTATCCCGGATCCCTTAGACATGATCTTATGAGATACAGATGTGAAAGGAAATGAACCACCAGTACAGTCAATGGTTACAACTGCACTATATCTCCTTGGCATGATCTGGAATAAAGTGCAGAGAAAGACAAAAGAAAAGTACAAAACCACAAATTACATCCTCACTACTGTAAGATGTAACATGTGAGCTGTGCTAGTGTATGGTGGTTTTTTTATTCAGTGAAATATACAAGGATTTCAGAGCCTTTCTTTTAAGAAATGTTCCTAAACTTTGTAAGATACTTTAAATGTGACGTAAAATGGGAATCAAAGAATGAAATACTTTTCACTCATGCAGTTTGGTATGAGTACTTAGTATTCCATCAGGTGCTTTCCTTAGGCAAGCTCCAGTTTCTCTCACATCTTTTGAGGAAGGGAGAGCCATTTGCCTGACATCTAAACAAGGAGGAAAGAGAGGAAGGAAAGAGGAGCTACAGCATTCCTAAGTTAGTTGGTAATTACTGTCTTTGTGTCTTTCCAGGTTGCAGTGGTAGAATACCCTGACGAAAACAAGTTCAAGGAGAAAGGGTGATTTGGGCTCACAGTTCAAGGTGTAGCTCCCCATGGTCAGGAAGCCAAGGCAGGGTTTTAAAGCATCTGGTCAAACTGCAGGTAGTCAAGAAGCTGAGCAGAGTCAATGAATGCTTGGTAGTTCTCAGATGGCTTTCTTCCCTTTATTCAGTCTGGGATCTCTGGACCAAACAATCATCCTGACAATAATTAAGGTGGGCCTTCCCACATCAATTAATGCAATCAGGATCATCCCTCAGAGGCGAACTCAAAAGCTAACCTTAATCTAAATAATCATCCTCAGGTATGCTCCGAGGGTTATCTCCCAGGTGACTGCAGATTCTGTCAGGCTGACAATTAACAGCATCACCCTTACTACTTTAATATCTTCTCTGAGAACAGCAGCTGCTGTTGATGGGGAAGATGGGCTGAAGCATAGAGCAGCAGCAGGAATCAGCTGCTTAGAGTTACTATGGAAGGGTGTGTGTATACTTAGTAGTGTTTAATTGCCCTTGTTGTCTTTCTTATCCAAATAAACCTAGAACATAGTCCATCCTACTTTGTTTTGGTTGCTGTTTTCTCTGAAATTTTATTGCTTGTAAGTAATTGAGCATTCAATCCATGGTGGTGACCACTGACATTTTGGAATATATAGAATTTCTCTTCATTTTCCTTCCTATTTAAGCAACTTGGTTCCTGGTATTTCTCCAACAAATTACAGTAAATGCATATTCTTTTCATGTGTGTGTGTGTGTGTGTGTGTGTGTGTGTGTGTGTGTGTGTGTAATATATATAAAATCTCATTTCAATTTCTCTAATTATATTTTCTACATTTGTTTCATTATCGTAATGGGATGTGATGATGGGATTTGTACTTTCATAAGGACATGTTTAATTTTATGTTTCTCTTAATCTTTTACTGTAATTCTTACTCTCTGAGACTTGCCAATGAGACCTTTTAGAGAGAATTAGAAAGGGCTTATCAAGGGATTTGGCCTTGTGTGTTAAGTAATTTGGTGAGAGACTAAGAAGGAAGAACACAGTTCTGGATTGGGTGTTGTTAGGAAAGATTATTCTTTGATTAGGTATCATAGATATTTTGTAGAGAAAAGGGAAGAATTTCTGTAATTGGTAAAGAAGTACCAGTCATTCATGTTCACTGAGAGATGAATATTTTGTACAGTGGGTGATTGTACTAATTATATAACCTTTTTTTGTACATGGGAGTGAACATAGCTGACAGTGATATTCTATAGATTGGGTGGCTCCAGAAATGATAACACAGTCTATCTCTAAGCATAGGCAGGCTGTTAATAATGGTAGGTTCTAACTATGTCAAATCTGTCTTTGGACTTCTCCTATTGGTAAAAGCTTGTTATTAGTGGTTTTGACTTGTATTGTTATTTAGCTACATAATTATGTCAGATATGATGTACCTTCAATTCTCTTGTATACCCAGTATGAAAATGATATAGGCTGATAGCTTCAAAATAAAATCATGCCTTTGAAATTAAATCTTAAGTTTTTACTCAAAACCTCAATATTAACAGACATATAATTTGACTTATATATAATGTTTGAGGATGAGAAGAACTAGGGATTCAAAAGTGCCCTTAATTTTGTTTCAGATTTAGCATTTCTCAATCAGAAATGTGTTCATATAGTAAAGTACAACTAAAATAGATCAAGAGTAACTAATGTGTAAGTGACAGGTACAAGACCAAATTACACGAAATATTTATATATTCTAAATCTATCTAGCTATAAATATATATTAGATACATTCTCTCTATATATAGATAGATTATAAATATATCTCGCCGGGCGTTGGTGGCGCACGCCTTTAATCCCAGCACTCGGGAGGCAGAGGCAGGCGGATCTCTGTGAGTTCGAGGCCAGCCTGGGCTACCAAGTGAGCTCCAGGAAAGGCGCAAAGCTACACAGAGAAACCCTGTCTTGAAAAAAAAAAAAAAAAAAAAAAAAAAAAAAAAAAATAAATAAATATATCTCTATATATTTAAATTACCAGGTATACAATATATAAAAACAAATTTAATTGTATCATTTAGTGGGAAACAAATGTTCTGGAAGCCAGATCACATTCAGTTCCAATTCCTAATTAGTGATGTTTACTTTTACAACTTATTATTGCCTTTATCATTCCTCATTTTTCTCATTTATAGATTGACCATCCATATGACAGGAATGACATGCTTAAAGTTCAGTAGAAACACTAAAAACGTATAAAATGATCGATCGTGGAAAAGACTCAACCAGATTTGCATGAGGATATTACTTTAATATTAGGGTCTTTCAGAGGATATGTCAAATAAACCCGAGATGTAGTTTTTGAGCTCTGCAGCCTTATCTTAGAGTCAAAGAGATTCTTCTCCCAGGCTTGTCCAAGTATTCAGCAAACACCTGTGCTGTCTGTGGGGCTGAAGTGTCATTCTGCTCTCCTGTCTGAGAAATGCATTCCTGTGGTGCCAGACTCCCTGCCATGGAGCCTTGCCCCAGGTCTGGTTTCCCAGCACATTTGCTTATTTTTGCAAATCCTGATAGGGAACAAGCTGTATACAAAGGAG